GCTTTCTCTGCAATTTTTGACTTCGTACACCATTAAAAATAGTTTTTTATTTACGAAAATGCAGTATAGACATTTGCAGTAAATATCAAATGCAAATTTCCAACATTGCTTGCGTAATATTTTGTTTACTTGTTTTATTTCGCCCGTGCGGGTATCTCCTTTCTATGTCATCAGCAACGTAAAACGCCGCATCCTATCCTACGTAGCAGTTCGACGTTTTTGCTTATCTTTTAATTTAAATACAATACTTTCATCGCATAAATTGATTTCACGACGCTCTACGCTTAACTTGTCAGGATGCCGTGAAAAACTTTTACAGTTATTTAATTATGCGCTCGAGTGTCCAGTACCGGTTTTACTCAAAATTTTTTCGTATATTCCGCTAAAAAATGTACATTATAGTATAATCCTTTCGATGATCCCTTCTGTTTCTATTCGGCCAAGAATGTACTGGTTACTTATTGCAATTATAGAGGTCAAGAACACGGTTACTAGTTATTATCTGCAGACCTAATATGCAAAACGAACCCATTTTTCTTTGCCCCAGACATAAACGCATGTTAAATAATAATTCTAGTTATGCACTTCTCACACTCAAGGTTTCTAATCGATAAGTAATTAGATAGTAATTAAATAAACAAATTAAATTAAATAAAAATTAAAATCCAAACAACAACACGAATATTATTTCACCGTTTTTATGAATGCATAAAATAGAGACCCATAAACAAATCATCAAAAATACTGCTCAATACTAAAGTTAAATTTAAAAATTTAAAAGTAAATAAATTGAAAAAATTACCCCAATTAATTACTATTTTAAAAGATTTTATTAGTTCAAATTTTTAATAAAAAATTAAATTTAAAAAGTTTATACCTAAAAACTAACCAAATGAACAAATCATTCAAATCAACCAAATTCATTAAACTATTTTGTTAGTTGATATTAATATATTATTATATTGAATCATTCAGATTATATATTATCAAGTTTTGTGAAATTTCAAAAAACATATTTATTCGGATCAAACAAAAAAAAGGATTAAATATTTTTACACCAATTTTTTTTTCAGTGTTTTGTACACAGTACCTTTCTTATCCGATCCAACTCATTGCGACTATTGACAATTTACACTGATAAGGCGTCTAGGCGGAAATCGAGTCGGAAATATTCTGAAAAAGATACAAAGGTGCATTCTATTTACCCTATTTGTTCTAGTGGATAACCTGTCGTTTTGATTTGAGATTTAAATGTACAAGGAACAAGGTGCACACTCCTAAGTATTCAGTATTCTTTTAGAAGCTTCAGATTGGCTCTGTTCTCGACTTTGATTGCTTTCCTTGCCAACTATCCTAGGACCTCTTGGCAGTTTCTGAGTACTGGTGTGTTTTTAAAGTCTCAATATTTGCAAAATTTGCTTCTGCGATTAGTTCACTCTTAATTTCCATTAGGTACATACTGAGATGACCAATAAGCCAGTTTATAAGTTGCAAAAATACTATTGTTCCCTCATTTCGGTGTTACGTTCTGTTATAAATTCAATAAGTAACTTGTCAATTGTCCTGTTGCAGCTACGGGTGGTAAGAAATTATAGACACTATAATATAAAATGACCAAACGGCATTCGCAATATTTAACAATTATCCATCATTATCGTCAAATGACAATAACAATTTGATAAAGCATTGAAGAGATGGATTTCTATTGGCAATAATTCGATGCTGTCATCTGTTTATATCCGGGGACTTGACGTTATACATTTTCATTCACTATCTGCAAGACTTCCGGCATATCACTCTCCTTGAGAAGATTTTTTGCAATGATAAATATTCAACTATTTGTGATTCATAAGCATAGAACCACATTAAATATTGTGTAAAGTGGACAAATAAATTAGTTAAAGCTAACAAATATGAAAATTATATAGATGGATGGATGGATCGTGGTCAAATACATTTTTTCTTTCACCATTTCAAAATAATGATACTGTGTCATTATTTTTCAAAGGCACTAATTTTCTTGCACAGTGGATTGAGTATGAGACACACTTTTGTAAAAATTTCACTTACTAACTTACCAAGTCGAACCACAACAATAATTGCAACATTCGCAGGTCACTACTTAAAAGGTCAGATTGCCGATCAATTTATCAGAGCGTGCAATATTAAAAACAAGAGGGCGAAAAAAAGTTAATCTCATTTCCTGTTGAACGAATTTTAGCCATGCCTAGAAAGTAATTTCAAGTTATTTCCAACGGAACACGATAAGATGTCCCCTTTTTCTAAAACCACGGAAAACAATACAGAATCGAAAGAACGGTAGTTTGAAAATCCCGTCAAAATAAAAACGTACGCATTTGTGAGACTTTATTATACGTTTACATCCAATTTTGGATTTATTTGTGTTATTATTGCCTTTTTTTTTATATATATATTTTTTAGAAAACTTCTGGATTCCTCCTGCGTCGGTTTTTGCTGAGTCGAAATCACTGACGTTTCGCCAATCATCCTGTTGGCTTCTTCAGAGCTTGACTGGAACTGTCAGCTCTGAAGAAGCCAACAGGATGATTGGCGAAACGTCAGCGATTTCGACTCAGCAAAAACCGACGCAGGAGGAATCCAGAAGTTTTCTAAAAAGTATTACAGTAGCCTGTGGAAGTTTCTTTGAAAAATTTTGATATATTATTTAAAGTCAGTTGACAGATATAGAAACAAACTATTTTGCGTTTCCTAAGGGCCGAAAAAGATACACTTAGAAACAATATTTGTGTTTTTATAAGATAAGGCTTCAGTTTTCATAATCTTAAAACTATGTATTCATATTTCCTTAATGCTGGCGAGTGACTAAGACCCAGTAATAGAGAGGAATTATTGGACAAAGTATGAGCATGTAAAAGTTTGTTTGACCAAACTTTTTCTACATTTTTATCCCACGTGGTACCAGAAGATTTTCGAGAAAATGCAAGTCATATAAATGCTACCTTTATCTAAAGATTATTTATTTACATTTTGTATTGACATCTAAAATTAATAAAAGAAAATTCCTCATTCCATCAGAATGTCCTTCAGTCCCAGAATATCCTGTACTTATGCCAGGTAAATGAAACAATATTTGTTCCTTTTATAATAAGTAATATTTTACGTTTGTTTTTTACTACTAGTAAATGGCTAAACGTCAACAAACTTCAGCAGCCCTAAGTTCTAGCAAACTTCGTAAGCCGAAACTGAGAAAAACAAATAAATCCTTTAAGAGGCCACATATTAGAAATTATTTTATAAATTATGTATATGATTTAGAGACCATATTTATCTCAAGTTTGATGAAATTTTTGAAACGTCCGTATCATCACATTTGTTTTACGACAGTATGAAAACCATACCTTTGATTGATATCCATGCACCAATTTTGCCTTGCCTTGCCTTATTTATTGGGCTAAGATTTTTTTTATTCTATAAAAGATTTAAAGTAAAATAAAAAATTTCGTTAAAACGGAAAAAATGAAATTCTATTACGGGATATTTTATTTTCTTACACGTAGGTTTAATTGTTTTACTATTTTTTACGATTTTATGTCATTAGCAGTGAGATATTTTGTTAAGAGATTAAATTAATATAATGTATTCACTACTGTTATTACTTTTTACTTGTTTTAGTGTACATATTTAGTAAATATAAATAATAATGCAACGTTTGTAGCGGCTTTGCTAATAAAGAACTTTTAATAATTTTTTTAATGATACAATTGTGTAAACAAATAGTTTTTCAGTGTATATTCTAAATATAATATTAACGTTTTCTCAGTTTAATAAGCGGACATATTGTCAGTCTACCACATCGAGAAGGTGCATTTAAAACCGAAATTGCGATGCTCTCTGAACTCCACCGCCGTTCATTTATCAATGAAATTAATTAACCAATGGCCGTGACCCATCAGAGCTCCTAAAATAGCTCATTTTTATCAGCTCCTATTTACGTGTTTTTAAATTTTAAAATGAATGAAACGATCCTATGGATGTTCTCAAGCGCCTTTAATAAGCGTATACCTTACGCAAACAAGTCTAACGAGTAAATCTATTTATACAGAGATACTAAATGAAGAGAAACTAAAACTTGTTGACTTTATTTATGCCTTAAGAGATACGTAGGCATAAATGTATCGGGAAGATTCACATAGTAAACTGTTTTACGCGCGTCATTTCCTACAATTTACTCGTGAAGTGGTGGATGTAATTATTAACTAAACAGCGGACGCAGTTTTACAGGGTGGAAAAAACACCGAATGAAATGAAAAATTAATAAAAAGAAATCCGCAATTGTCGTCAAATTTAATACGGTCTAAAATTGACACAGTTTAACAACTAAAGCGTTGCATAATTTGCTATCAGCAGCAATAATAGTTTCAGTAGTCTTAAAATCGGCAAAATCGCTATCGCGTAGATAAATAGTCATAAATTCTATCTATAGCGTAGGTATTGTTTTAGCCACATTAATCGACGCACCATATTGTCATTAACTATATTTTATGTTTACGTAGGCGGCCGAACAAATAAAATAGCTCAAATAAATCAAGAACCAATAAGAACAATACCCCATGGTATAAACACAATCAAATACAAAACTTAACGCTTAATTTGCATATCAAAGACATAACTATTAATTTAACAAGTCAGGCATTTTGTTATAAATAATGCAACAGCCATGCATTATTTGACGCACATGTAATTATTGGGTTTTAAAAAAATATCGAGAAATTTTATTGGTAGAGTTATGTGCCCCGATATTTAAATCGGAAACTTTCACGCCTTAAATTAGGCACATTTACGATGGTTTAAATCATCACAATTGTATAATTTCTGTGTGGGATAGTGTCCAATTTTAAAATTGAATTAGACATAATGGCAAATTGACATTTAACTGACTAACCAACCGTAACAATCAGTCCCACATTAAAAAAAAACATTTCTCACGAATATATTAAAAGCAGAACAAAAAAACTTACCTAAAAGGCATCAAGTACCACAACCTTTGAAAAGAAATCATTTTCCAAAGCTAGAGTTGATTTGTTTTGCTTTTGCTGGGCTTTCATTCCCCTGTACAACCGAGAAAACGTGGGTAGGGCGTACGAAACACTTAATAAACCTTCTAAAAAAAACAAGTAGACGATACGACGAGTTTTTAATTCATATTTTGCTTTAAAAAAACGTAAGCTGTGAACACGCGTCAAAGTTTATTTGTCCCGCTACACGCAACACACAACAAAACTCTGCTCGCGCTGTCTAGAGTGCTGCGAGGCTTGTTCTTTGCCACGGTCGGGTACATTCGTGTGGTTTCGGTACTTTCAAACATCGCTTCAAGTAGTTCAGCTTTTAGGGGAGAGATTCGACTTCATAAGGACGATGGATGCGTTTGTACTTTGCTGGTCTTACCTGTGAATTACGACTCTGAATAACAGTCTTAAAAGTGGATTGGACCGTATGAGTCGGGCTTTGTCTAAGCCGTTACGCGTTAATTTTGGCAGTTTGTCTCTAATTACACTCTTAAAAATAAAAATAAAAAACTTTTAAATTACAAATCTAACTGCAAACAAATCCATTGGTAATAAAAAGCAGATAAGTTTTTAATAACCCTGATGTTGCGAAAGCAGCGGAAGGATTTGAAATATAAAAGCTCGTGTATGCAACCAAGCTTACACGTCGAATACAATATGTTAATTTAAGCAATTTATCGAACAGATAGGAAGTTATTATCAAAATTATTTAGTAGTTTTTTTTAATTAAATTATACATTACTTAATATACTACTTAGGTGCGGAGTAGCTTATTTTTAAATTATTTTGAAATATGAATAAAATATATTCATAAATTGCTAAAATGCGTGTAATAATAGAGGGCGGTGGCACAGAAAATTAGGAGGTAGAGTTCTTGACAGAGCTCAGTTTTTTTTTAAGCTTTGGCTCACCTACCAGAGAATACAAGGTAATTCGAGTCCAATATTAATATTAAAAGTTGTGGAGAAAATTAATACAGGAATATTTTGGGAATGTACTTAATTTTTGTCAATATCTACTTGTTGAAAAAAAAACTAATTAAAATGACTTAATAATAATGGTATAATTGCCATTTTTTCCACACTTTTGTATATAAAATGATTACTAGCAAAAAACAAAATACATAATTGAAAATGCATTTATAACATTTCTAAAAAGTTGTTATAAAAAATAACACCATATTAAAAACCACGATATATCTGAGAAAAAAATTTATCCGCTATATAAAAAAGTCGTATATTTTTAACTGTCTACAAATCCATTCCCCGAATTTAAACGAAAAAGTTATTTAGTGACTTTATGTGTAAGTCCAACAAGTAATTAAATATAATAATAATTCCTAAACCTAAAACCTTAAAATTGTAATCAAATTATATTTAAAAAATTTTAAAACAGAAGGAAGGAAAATTTATTTATATTTTATGCAAATTTTCATATAGTCATAGTAGAAAATATCGCAAAAATGCAAAAATCTGTTAATAAACATTAAAAGCAGCAACATTGACATTTCTCTATACCTACCTCCCTCCAGTTTTGAGTTGTTTTTTTTTACGTCATGAGAGATATTTCCATACGAAATACTTTGAGGAAATACAAAGGAAAATGGAGAAATGTATGGTAACATATAGGAAACCTCTGATAATGGGGTATTGTAGACCATGTTAAAAAAACTTGTATGTACTAATTATTGTTTGTTCTTATTTTGAATTTATAATTTTTATTATCAACACCAAATAAGTATGGATTATTTAAAAATAATAATTGTTTCTTAATTTCCGATTCAGTCTGTCACTCATTAACTGAATATATTTTCTTTGGAAGTGTCATTAAAATAACAAAAAATAAATGGAAAATTGTTTTAAGGTAGCTGAAGTTGAGGTCAAAAACCTACGTTTTATTATCCATAGAAGATATCAAAAATAATGGGCATAAGCAACTTCGAAGCTTCCACCGACGGAACAAAAAACGTGCGAGATCTATAGCCTTAAATGTAGAAATACTGAAATTTTATTTATTTTGAGCAAACCATTTAGATAATTAGATATGTAAAAACAAGTAGTTTTAAAAATCAGTTAGTTTAATTACATTTTACATAAAGCATTAAAATTATTTAAAAACATTTTATATTTTATCATACTGTGGCTAAAAATAGTGCATAAACCGAAATAAAGGAGACATTTAAAAAATAAGAGGAAGTATAGGGAATATAGAAATATTTGAGTAGTACGGGGAACTATTTGGCAGGTGGTTTCAAATTAAACAAAAAAAAATTCTTCAAACTAATGGGGTACGGTAAAAACGTCCGAGCCATAAAACTATTTTATTTGCGTAAATTATTTTTTTACACAAGGAATGCTAAATCGAAAAAAAACAATTAAAACATCCAATAATAGAAAGACGTACCTATGATCCAATAAAATTAATACCATTTACTATAAAACATATTACACCGGCCTAATAGAACTGACATTGAGATGGTTATTAATTGGTTTTAATAAACACTTAAAAACGCAACTCCCCTTTTAGACCACTGTTTAACACCAATATTGTTTAAATATAAAATTAGAGTGAAAAGTTAAGAAATGTCAAAATTTTAATGAATGACAAAAGAAATGGTGCTTAAGGTGATGATATTACAGCAAAAATTTATTATGCTATATTCCCAAAATATTACCATAATTTTTATTTGCTTTTGGGTGAGTTCAATAAGAAATGGGGTTTATAATAGACGAGCGTATATCCACAAGACGGAAACCAAAATTTTTACCACACTTTTGGATATAAAATAATCACTAGCAAAAAATAACCCTCGAAAAATTACATAACTCATTTCTTTTGTAACATTTGTATAAAGATGCTATAAAAAATAACATCTTATTAAAAACCACGATGTTTCTTAAAAAACATGTTACACACTATACTTTTTCTGTGTCGTGGGACAAGAAAGTCACGTGGTAAAGTCACGATTCCCGCACTCTAGATCGGTCTATAATTAGGTATTTTACAGAAAGGAGTAGAAAAATTATATTTCTACCCAACTTTGTATAAAGTTTTTAACAAAAAAAAATAAAACATGAAAATAATTTGCAAAAATTCATTATATAAAAACTCACTACTCTCCTGATTTTTCTCAATAAAGAAGCGTTGACTCAACAACCCCAAATTACTCAGAAATTATATTCATTTATATCATATATAAGATCATGCAGTGGATCTACGGCACCATGGTGGTGCCTATGCTCACGCATGGGGCAGTGGCATGGTGGCCGGGGACCAAAAGAGCGGGAGCAAGGCTAGTCCTTGACAGACTGCAGAGATTGGCTTGCCTCTGCATAACGGGCGCCATGAGAACGGCGCCCACGAGGGCCCTGAAGGCTCTGGTGGGGCTGCCCTCTCTGGCGGATCGGGTGCAGATGGAGGCGGCCAGGACAGCTGTGAGGCTGGCGAGCTGCGGGCTCTGGAGGGAGGGAACCCTCAATCGGGGTTCGTACGACATTTTAGAGGGCTGTCGCGGGGATCGCGGCGTCATGGGCATGGCGAGTGACGTCATGATCCCCGAGATGACCTTCTTTGATAAATTGACCTTTCTCTTTCCATCAAGGGAAGATTGGAGAGAGGGCAGAGTCGGCTCCTGGGATGGACTTGTCTGGTACACGGACGGGTCCAGAATGGGAGATCTGGCCGGAGCTGGAGCGTACTGCGAGACAACGGGATCAAGCTTGTCGGTCCCTCTGGGTCAGTACTGCACTGTGTTTCAGGCGGAAATTTTCGCTTTATTGATGGCGGCCAGAGAGGTGCTTCGGCTCAACTACGGAAGCAGGAGAGTCTTCTTCTGCTCGGATAGTAGGGCTGCACTCATGGAAGCTGAAGTCAGTGCGTACGCGCTCCTTGTTGATAAAGGAGTGCAAAGGGGTACTGAGGAGGGTGGCTGAGGAGAGAAAGGTCACGTTGGTCTGGGTCACGGGTCACACCGGTGTCCGGGGCAATGAGGCAGCGGACGCCTTAGCCAGGGAGGGCTCCTCGCATAGGCATGTAGGGCCAGAGCCCCGCTTGGGGATCGCCCCGTGTGTGAGGCGGGGAGCTCTCGAAGCCTGGCTGGAGAGTTGCTCCGGGAATGAGGCAGGCGAGGCTTATGATGGATGGGCCCGCCCTTCCTCGGACCAGGGAGCTGCTTAGACTGACCAGGAGGGAGTGTAGAGCACTAACAGGGGCCTACACAGGACATTGCAGGCTTAGGAGGCATCTCTGCTTGCTAGGCATTGGAGACGACCCGGAGTGTAGGTGGTGCATGGAAGGGGAGGAGACCCCGTATCATCTGCTCACCGAGTGCCCTGCCTTGACATGGGCAAGATTGGGAGTCTTCGGAACGGCCCTGATCGATCCGGACTCAGTGCACGGTATTAGGCTAAAGGAGTTGCTGACCTTCTACAGGAGGGGCGGCATTCTGGACGCCCTCTAGAGCGGCCTGGGGGCACAACGGGCCCATCTGGTGGCCTAAGTGCTTGGACGCCCCCCTTTAATACCAATACCAATACCAATCATATTTATCTCTCTTTTTTTAGGCAGCAACCTCAGAAAATTCTTTAAAAAAATTAAATACGTTTTCAACCTTATTGCTTTCATTGTTCCAGATTAGTATTAGTATTAGAAAAAATTAATTTGATATGATTTCTATATACAGACTGTCAAAGCTTTTTTTTAATCGCGTTTATATTAATCTTCAAGCTTGACACTGTGTATCTGTATCAAGTTACGATGTATTTTTGTGAAAAACTTTTATTTTTTCGAAAAAAAAAAACTGTTCTCAGATATTGAAACACCTATCAGAAAGCGGCATAAAATTGGTTGCTTTTAAAAAAAATTATTTAGTCTCTCAATATTTAGTAGAGCTTTTTTTTCACATTATGCTTTTTCTAACCTAAAACCAAAATAAAATTAAAATAATTAGAATCTAAACAGCTAACATGGCTACAGGGTCTTTCAAAAATGTCTACCATAAATCGAATACTAAAAAATGACGTGTAAAAGAAGGCCCAAAAAGTCTTTTCCTTTTAAATTATTTCTGAAATTATTTAAGACATTTAAATAAAATTTAGACCATTGGATCGTAAAAACTCCCCAAACTTTTTTTCCTATAGTATTGTTTTTAAATTTTCTAATAAAGTAAAAAAAGTAACCTTGTTTAAAGTAGAAAAATACTGCTTTCAGCAATTTTCATCTATGAGGTAAAAATATAGTCAATTTTGAACTTTTATAATGAAATCGTGGTATATGGTATAAAAAATAATTAAAAAGCGATTTCTTGGTGCCCATTTTACCACGTTTGTTAACCAATGTTCTGTAATTAGCCTAGAAATTAGTGGAATGTTTTTTGAAGCATCCTGTACATACCATAGCCCGAGAGGTATCATGATTCCTATATATTTCAAATGGACAATTTCTTAAAACCCAAAAATATGGTATTTCAATGTAGTTGCAAGTTAGAAAACGCTCGTATATTAGTGCCCCTCTTAATTACCAATAATGCTGCTTCAATTTAATTTTTTTCTTACCTTGGATATTTTTTTTTCAACAAAAATATTTCTTTTTCTCTTCAGTTAAACCAATAAAATGCAGATTATTTTCAATAATTCCCGCGATTTTCCCCAAATATTTTTTTTTAGTAAAAAGTATCGCGAATTTTGAAAATTTTAATTTAAGGACATCTTTCTACAATAAATTTGAAACGATGAAAATAATATTTTTTTCTGCTCTCTGGTATCCAAAGCACCATTGTTAGGTAAATATTCGTGTAATATGCAAAATCAGATTCGGGTAATTTAATAATGGAAACTATCAACACCTATTACCTAAAAAAAAACATAAAACGTTATAATCAATAAGGTTAGCTCATCGATAACTGCCCTAGAGCGAGTAGTTTCTCGACGGCCGCGTTTATATCCCCGAATGTCGATATTAAGGCCTGTAGATTGGCTTCGCGGTTCAAGAATCCCATCGAAGTCAATTGCTCCAGTTGCTGCTGGTAACGCTCTTCCGGAGGAATGGACCTATCGGTCGCGTTCGTTGCCATTCCTGCCACCATCCGAGCCATAAACTGAAAACACATAAAATACAAAAAATATACATTATTCATTTATTTATTTATTTATATATTTATTAATTGCCCAAACATATATAAACAATATATTGAAAGTTATATGAGGTGGGAAAAGCTTTTAAAATAATTAAAACTAAATTTCGCTTTGTAATACTTTTTAATCCATGTATATGGTATATGGAAAATGTCTAAAATTGTTCTTGTCCACAAAAAATTATCTCTTTTACATGACGAAATATTTCATGTTGTTAAGAACCAAATAGTCCCTGGAAAACGTGGATTTTTTTAATTAGATATTTATTGTTTGGATTTTTAGTTATTGCTTAAGTGGTCTACGAACAAATCCGGAAACATTTTTAATTTAAGTTTGAGGTGACGCCACTGGGATTAACACTTTTATTCTAATTGCGTTGAAAGAAGTTCTTTATTACTACAAATTTGCATGCCAAGTTTAATCAAAATCAGAAAAAAGGTTTTTGAATAATTAATAATTTTTTCTTATTATAAACTTATAAACTGCATTTTTAGAAAACGAATCAAGTTAGGACATATGTTTATGGGAGATCCGTAAACTGAAAATATATAAAATGGGCATAACTATCTGTCTTTTTTCAAGTAACAATGGTTTTATTTTTCCAGACTAGTGCTAACAAAATTCGAAAAATTCCTAAAAAACATACTTTTTCAAATAAACCTTTTCCATGAACATAGGTCGTAACTTGATTTGTTTTCGAGATGCCAGGTGCAAAATTTTTATTAAAGAAAAAGAAGTTTTTTTTTATTAATCATTCAAAAACATTTTGTCTAATTTTATAGTTATATGAAAGAGGCTTCTTTAATCTTTAATCAAACCGCTTTCTGAAAAAATCAGCAAATCAAGGTTATTGTTCTGGATCTTTCCTGGTCCGAGAATTTTTCCAAAATAGTACATGGTTTTAGAGAAAATAGGTTTTTTCTGAAACCATGCAGTGCATCGTAACAATTAATGACGTCATCGCATCTTGACTGAGACCCGGAATAGTGATTTTCATATAGATTTCTTCAAATATCTCGAGTAGCGTGTGTTATAGACGAAAATCCCAGATACAAAAATTGTAGCTCTTGATGCGCCCTATACCAGTGTTTAAACCAATTGTCCATATTTTTCAATAATTTTGATTTACGGTTAATAATTTATTACAGAAAAAAGCAATTTTCATGGTTGATAGATTGTTGTTCACAATTGACAAATCCTGTACATAATCGAAAAACTAACTGAAATAGAATTTGTTTTTTTATACAGGCCAAAATGCCGACAAAAATTTTTTTGAAAATATTTAAAAATTATTTGGCTAAGCCCGATTGCACTTAGCTTTTACAAATTTGCATGCGGCGGTATACTTCTACCAAAGTCCCAAATTTTAAGTCAATAGCTGCAAATTTCGGACGCTTGCTGCATTTTTCAGCATAACACGTTATATTTCGAACATCCTGTATAATACGCGAAAACTTTAAATACAAGAGTTTTAGCTCTCTCTATGGGCTACACTGTCATGTAGAAGAAACCGCCGACCATTACCATTATTTAGAATTACAGTCAATTTTCCTTAAAATTTCCAGATTTTTGGCAATACCGGCGCATCCTGTATATTTTCAAAATACTGTCAACAATAAAAGTTTATGGGCGTCAATATTCCGCGTCTTCTCGTTCAAAAATTTTTTCGATCTGATGAACAATTTTCGAGAAATGGTTATTGTGTTTAATAGCAAAGTTCAAAAAGCAGTCGAAAATCGTAAAAATAAGATGGACGCCGAAGCTTGACCGCAGTCATTTTTACATATATTGTGCGAATAGCCAAATTTCAACCCCCTACCTTAATCCGTTCGAAATTTATAGCCAAAAATGGGTTCGGTCTACAGAGAACGGAGACAAAAAATTTTTTTTTCGCCGCCCTTACTGAGATCTCGAGTTTAGTGAGGAGCGCGTATGCTTTGGCAAAGATTGGATTTCATCGATTGTGCGAAAGCAACCAGCTTATAATAATATAAACCACTACCCCCCCTTATGAACCACAAACTAACCTCTGAAAATGGATCGGTGGCTGATCTAGTTCCTGCAGCTGTAGAGGTGGTCGTGGTGCCTGGGGCTCCAGTGCTTGTGGTTGCTGTCGCCGTAGTATTTGTAGGGTTATCGTTTGTTGTGGTAGGTGTCGAAGTGGTCGGTACCATGGGGGGCACGAATGTATTTATCAGAGACGGAGCCGTCTGTCTCAGAGTCTCCATTCCTAAAGACAATGAACCAACCCTTATTATAGATCGTTAAGAGACCAACGCTTACCTTGTTGGATCTGCATAATGGCGTTAAGAGCTTGCGGATTGGTCATTAAATTCTGCATCTCCGGATTCTGAAGTTGCTGCAAAAATTGAGGCATCATGGTACGCATCTGCTCTTGTAACTGGGGGTTTCTAGACAGCAACGGATTATCCGCCATTAAAGCGTTCGCCATATTCGGATCGGCAGCCAATGCTTCCAGTACGGACTGTGTATAGGGAGCCGATAACATATTCTGGATCAAGCCAGGATTTTCTGACATTTGCTGCAGCAAGCTGGCCATCGGTGGACTATTCATTACATTCCGGCCCGGAGTTGTTGGGTTAGGTGTGCTACCAGTCGACGCATTTCTGTTCCATGGATTAGGTAAAGGTTCTCGGTTTTCTGTTCCTGCCAACAGCAGTTTGCATTTTAGATAGAACGCGAATGTTCACTTTATATTCAGGGTGTTTGAAAAATTATGCAAAAACCTTGGGGCAGCTTATTATATAAAGGTTGGGTCAAAAGTCAACCATGAGGAAAAAAAATAATGGTCCACTTTCTGTGAATTTAAAGAAAAACTTACGCAAAAAATTAAAATGGTAAAAATAAATTATTATAAACAAATATTGAATTAAAACTCTTATTATCGAACAATTTAATGATTACCAAAACTAAGCAATAATAATAATAATAATAATAGACTTTAGACTTTATTGGCCATTAAATACATTACAAGAACAACAAATGGCAAGTCACAGTATCAAACACATTCTAATAACATTCATAGAGAGCAACATAATTATTAGATAGACAAACATCAAACATTGAAACAAAAATTAGGTAAAAAAAAAATAAGTAAATAAATAAATTCCCAATCAGTATTATGGAGACACTCGTGACGCAACACGGATGTACTCATCTGCAGTATAGAATGCGTTCTCCAATAGAAATTGTTTTATTATATTACAAAATTTAGTGAATGGCAGATCCTTGACAACGGTTGGTAGAACATTGTAGTAATTAATGTACAATTTATTTAACTCGGATGTGCGCAGCCTAGAATGGCCCTGGACAATTAATTCAGATCCCCTGGTGTAGTGATTGTGGCGATCACAGTGCTTAGGCATATCGTTCTTTAGCTCATGTATGAGAGTGACCGTATAGTAAATAAATAGTGATGGTAAGGTCAAAATATTAAGCTTTGAGAAGAGCGGGCGGCAGTGATCACGAGGCTTTGCATTCGCAATCACACGTATCGCTCTTTTTTGCATAAGAAAAGCCTTGCGGGCATGCACGGAACCACCCCACAAAACAATAGCGTACGCTAAATGAGAATGGAACAATCCGAAATAAGCAAGTCTTGACATGATAGGAATGAGTGACTTGTTTAAGTATCTAATTAGAAACAATTGACTTGACAGTTTGTGGCAAAGGTGTTCAATGTGATCCTTCCAAGAAAGAGTACGATCGATCCAGACTCCAAGTACCTTAACCGGAGCATTGTTTAAATTATGCACCTTGCTACAAGAGAAAATAAGATTGTTCGTTTTATTTTCGTTTAACTGTAAGGAGTTCGACCCGAACCATTCACGCGCTCTAGTCTTATTGGTCACACTGTCAATACTAAGTTCATATGGGTTTCTAGATCGGGATAAAAGAATTGTATCATCCGCGTAAAGCGTAGTTCTACATGGCATGTGAGAAGGCAAATCGTTGATGTAAACTATAAACAGCAGGGGCCGGAGCACCGAGCCCTGCGGCACTCCAAACGATACCGGCAAGCTAGAACTACTGAATTTTCCATTCACCTCGACACATTGAAGTCTACCGCTAAGGTAAGAGCGCAATAATCTGTGAGGCATGCCCCTGATGCCATACCACTCGAGCTTCTGCATCAGCAGTCCATGATTCACACAATCAAAAGCCTTCGTGAGATCGCAAAAGGTGGCCTCCGCTATCTCACAAGCGTCAAAACCTTCGACGATGCTCCCCACAAGACTTAGTAAAGCATGCGTGGTGGAACTTCCGCCCCTAAACCCGAACTGTTCTTTGCACAAAAGTTTGTGTTTTTCAAAATAGTTCAGCAAACGATCTTTTAAGATTATTTCAATGATCTTCCCCATTATAGGTATGATTGCAATAGGTCTATAGTTTGAGGGGACGTTGGTATCTCCCTTCTTGTGTAGTGGCACAACCCTGCTTATTTTTAACTGTTCTGGAAATATTCCAGTTTCAAACATCTAGTTAATTAGATGAGCTATGGGGTCAGCTAAAAAAGTTGCGGTATGTTTAAGAATTTTTGAATTTAGGTTGTAGACGTCTAAAGAATTAGAATTACTCAAATGCAGAATTGTGCTATAGACTAATTCACTGGAAACCGGATCCAGGAAAAACGACCTCGTGGGACTTGATTGCCTGCTCATATAGGGCATTGGATCATTTTTTTTATTTCGGCAATAATAATAATAATAATAATAATAATAATAATAATAATATATATATATATATATATATATATATATATATATATATATATATATATATATATATATATATATATATATATATATATATATATATATATATATATATATATATATATATATATATATATATATATATATATATATATATATATATATATATATATATATATATATATATATATATAAAAATACAGGAGACAAAAAGATCTAAATAAATCTCCACACAAAAAAAGTAGTAATACTTCTGCAAGATTTTCTGGTTCTAAACATTCTCCCTTTAAGATAAAAAATAATCAAACATTTCAATGACCACTGAAAACCAATAAAAAATATTTTTTTATAACAAAGAATATAAATAGATACACATTTTTTTGGCAGTTGGGATTAACACATAGAGAATACTTTAAAAAATTGATTGCAAAATTTACTTTTAATTTTCATTTTTCAAACACTTTGCAAATAAATTATGGCTTTGAGGTGCAAAATCAAAACCAAAGAAAGAATGTATAAGTAGCAAAATGAATCGACACATACCTTGCTGTGGATTATTGATTTGAGTGCCATCCACAAGCCCAGAAAATGGATTCTGACTAAACTGTTCGGTTGCAGCAGATAGCATAGGCTCCTGAATATCCCTGTACATCCGGTGCAAAGCGTTATAACCTCCTGGAATGCTTTCCAAATTACTCATAGCCCTATCGTGACTGCGCATTAACTCTTGCAGCATAGATGGATTCCTAGCCAATTCCATAGTCTGGCGCAATAATTCGGGATTATTGAGCATGTGACTGATTTCGGGATTTCGTTCCATTAAATCTTGCATTTGAGGATTGCGCGTTACTAGTGCTCTCATATTCTCTGGGTCATTCATTAGTCTTTGGACTAATGGATTATCGAGCAATGTTCTAATCAAATCCGGATTTGACAGCAATTCTGACTGCATGCGATTTTGAATTTCCATAAAGTTAGTTGAACCTAGACCAAGAGATTCCAAACCAGCAAGCCCTCCCAGTCCTCCTACTCCAAATGGTGTTGCACTAACATCAGCTAAAACAAGAATAACCAAAATATCAGAAAAAAATATACATAATAATTAAAGGTTATGTTACCTGGGGGGCGTTGTGGTGTGTTTTCAGGTGCAAGAGGAGCTGCTCTAATTACCAAGTGTATTGTTAACCCATCCTTAACGTTATGAGCCAAAAGAGTGTCTGCATCTTTCATGATCTTGCCCGCAAAAATTAGGCATAGCTGCTCTGGCTCTGCGTTAAATTTTGGGCTTATAAGATCTTTGAACTGAAAAAGAATTTATACACTTAGAGAAGTTAATTTAATGTTTAGGTTAGGAACTCAAGTACTTACTTCTTTAACATTTAGACCCTCAAACACTTTAAAGGACTCCTTCTCCTTTGGTGTTTTAACATGAATGGTTATTTCCTTTTTTAGCTGTGCACTTTCTTCATCTTTGGGTTTGTCCTCCTGCTTTTCATTCTCTATTTTTCCACTATCTACCGGAACATCGTCAGCCATATTTGTGGCTATAATGACTTGTTAAATTTTAACTGCAAACAATAACCATAATTAATTTACATTGTGTGCTGCAAGTAATTTCTCACGCAAAGATTCTGTTATTACTATAATGAGCACGAGGACCTAATACTTTAAATAACTTACGTACCACACAAAATTTCCCAACACAAAAACTGATTCTACTCCCAATTGTCAACTGTCAACATCAAATAATTATTCGTGACATATCAAAGTTTCTAACTTTGGTTTTGGTTGGTTCATAGAAACCTGCCCAATCATGCACCACAGATCATGGTGTGCGTGTATTTATCGTGTAAATTTAAACCGACCAAGGAAATCCTGGCGTCATGGATAAGTAGGATTCTAAAGTCCCCCAAGGTGCGAATAATTATATCAAACTGGTTAATTATATCTAACGGGTGGGATGATTGTTTTCTGAAAAACTAAATAAAAAACTTAGTCAAAAGTTGTTTTGCTGATACTGTTGAAATATTACATTGTTATATATATACCCTATGTCTAGCGTAAGTAAATGACGATGAAGAAAGTCCCGAAAAATTAAAAAATGCCTTAATTTTGGGTTATTTCAAGAATTTTAATAGATAATCCAAAGATTCTGGAAAGCGCGACATAGCGGCGCCATCTGTTAGTGACCAAAAAAAACCAATCGTTTTAATTCCTAAACTAGATCGGTACTTCAATTTCCAGGTACCAGAGGGCGCTCACTTTAAAAAATCTGGTTTATTAGAACCATTAATTATAAAATAAATTTAAATAACTGGGAGCAGCTACGACAAATCAAAATTAATAGCGAACACATCAAAACTATTAACCAACCATTTCATTTTGGTCGTTGTAGGTATAATATATTTTTTCAAAACAACCGACAGCTATTATTGATCCCATTATCCATTTTATAAGCTTTAACACTAAAAAGGAGATTTTAAAAATCATCTCCAAACAACTTCTAAAATGTGAACTCAAATAGAGCTTGCGTTCTAAACGCAACGCATCAAAGACTTTTTAAAGCACTGGCATCATTGGAACGATTGCGCTGGGAGCGGTAAATTGCCGTTACAAAAATGTTGATGTTGAATTCATTTTCAGTTAAGTTACAGTAGGTGTTTTAGACCTACGGTTTGCGTGGTTATTCTACAGTTCGTGACGCTCACTATCGGCTTCGTAGTGAACTTTTAAAAGCAAATATTATGTTTTTTTAGTCGGTAACGGTTGAAAAAAACTACCAAGTTAAACGTCCCAATGGTTTGTGGAAGCTGTTATCAACGTAGTGCCTTTCGAGCCACGTCTCGTCAAACCTACGTAACTCGTTAATTAAAAACCTGTATAAAAATAGAAATTATATTTGAAAAGTGTCGTGGACTGTTCACAATTATTCCGAATTTAACCAAAAAAAATATGGACACCGCTCTTCTGCTGCCCAAGGTAAAAATTATTAGAAATAAATAACAAATATTCAATTAATCTTCCTTTTAAAAATCAAAGAAGAAAAAATTATATGTTTTAAGATATTTCTTCCTTCAGCGATTTTGCTTTAAAAAATAAATTGTTTTTTTTTTCATGAACCCTATGTGGGTTTTAACGAATGAATTTTTAATGAAATTGGGTTTGGAGGTGTGGCGACTAGACAAAAGGGCATCCGCAAGCTTTCTTTAGATGTTCTGAGGAATTCTACCTGTGTGCAACGCGGCTTTGATTTTAAAACTGATCAAAACGATATACAGTACGAGCGTTTCATATCAAATACCGCAATACAATTGTATATTAGTGTCTAGAAAATACAAAATATGTCGCTAACTTTAATTTTAAGAAGCAAAAAAAATAGTATGTAATTATATATTAACAATAATGAAGAAAAAAAGAAACAAAACAAGAAACAAAAATAACTTTTTATAAAGAGGAATGATGTAAGTAACAAAATATCGAATACATTTCCCTAATACTAATATGTCAGGTGAACCCACCCCAATTAAATAAGCACAGACAGGTGAAGGCAACACACTACAGGAAGTAAAAGAAGTTCGTTAAAAATAGTCACCATTTGGATTTGGCGGTTGACGGGTTTCTTGTTTCTAGTTACTTCCTAATATCAATTTCAGTGTATTGCGTACGTGGTGATGTGATTCTACTATATCGTATTATATTCCATCATTATTTGCTCGAGCAAACGTTCTCCTTTTCAAAAATAATCGGCGCACCATTTAATGACTCTTCAATATAGCGTCAAATAAATTTAAAACACGTTTAATGTGTTAAATTGTATACCGGTTCTATTTCGAAAAAAAACGGCCGACACATTTACCCGACAATATTATTAAACTCTTTAATGTCTTTGTGAACGGTATTTGAAAACACTGGGTGTCTCTAAAAGGTCTGTACAAGGTGAGTCAACGATATAGTGAAGTTTATGATCTTATCGGTTTCAAAAGTTATTAGAAATTAGTAAATACAAAAGCCGTAAAGGTTGTTAGGATGGACAATTTAAAATTATTTTATAGTACACAGTGTGGCTCATAGAAGGGCGTCGAATAAAATGTACATTTTTAAAAAATGGAACATCCTGTTTTGAAATTTTGTTTCGAATTCGTTTTCCAATACATACATTTTTCTAAAAAAATACTGGTTTTCAAGAAATTACGATAACTTTGTGTATAAAGGTAAAAGTAGTAAAGATATATGCAACGGAATTTGATTTAGATGCTAAAGGGTGTTCAAAATAAACGAATACGATCATTTTATATTGAAAAATGTCCATTTTCTTAAATGGTACACCATAGATATTATTATTTTTTCGAAAAGATCCTACGAAAACCTACAGCTTTTATTAAGCAAGTTATATACCTAGTTTTGATACTTTGGGATTTATTTTAACTTTACCAATTATCACCTTTCTTTCTGTAAGACTATTGCTATACAATATTAGTTGCACATAACAAAAATATTAACCAACAGGGCTCTGTTAAGGTTAAAAAATGAACAGGAGAAAGAACTCTGTTTTTTTAATTCACAGAAGAAGTAAATAATATTAAATACCTATTTCTACAAATTAACTTATCTTATTTTTTTTACTATTATGGAGCAATAAATGTTCAAAAATATGCCCTTCATCTTGGATACACGTTTAGCCTTTTTCGTATATTTTCTTAAACGTTCCTTAGCATATAGGCTGTTATTCTCCTGGTTCGCGAAAAAAAATTTGTCCAATAACTTCAAGGGGCGGCTTAAAATGCACAAGAAATCAGTTTGTAGTAAATAAGCCCTTTTCTACAATTTAATCAAAATAAACATTTGTTTATAAGTCATTAGTTTAATTACTTTAAAATATCAACGTTTTTCTTTTTTCCTGTATATCGTGTATTTCGTATTTGTTTTAAACGGAATTATATTCAAAACAAATTATTAGGACGTTTTTCCGTTCTCTGTTAATAATAAGATGACTACATTAATCAAACTTAAATGTTTATATTTTACAGGCGGTCTGTTGTTACTTCTAAAAGATTTCTTTAACATTTTGTGACTTTTGCCAGTCAAGAGAACAAAGGGACTGCATTTTCAGTGTCTCCAAATTTTTAACCAAAACTAACGAAATCTCACCCTTATGCATATTTTGCAGGAAATCATTTCCTTAACCAAAAAAAAAACAAATACACTGAAAAAAAGTTACGACCAACTAAAACCATCGAAAGTGCACCTTGAAGCGCCCTCTAATGGCCACTGTGAAATTAGATCTTTTTATTTATTAGCTCTTCTTCCTAATGAAGGCACATCAAAATTTTATGTAGAAAAAAGGGGATAAACATTTCCGGTATAACCAAGAGGAAAGAATGTTGAATGAAGTAAAAATTCACCAACCAATATTGGAATAAAAGTTAAAGAAGAAAGCGAAAACGTGATTTAGGTACGATATTTTCAAATAATTTTGTAGCCTTAGTATCGACGACTCTCATTTGAAAACATCCGCTTCAAAGAGAGTTTTTTATAGCCATAATAATATTTTTGATTAGACGAAGAAAAATAAGTGGCGTAGATACGATTGGAACATTAATACCATTACAGCGTACTTTTAATTTAATGCTATTTAAAGTGGCGTGTATCATTACGCATGAAATTTTAATCAAAAACAGGAAAAGTGATTAAATGATAATCTTAGTAATTTAAAGTATATCTTTCAATACTAACTTCGTTTCGGTGCTATAATGACGAACGTATAAATATGGAGAATGCCACAATTACATAGGCGTCCAACTAGGGTACAATGACATTCACTAGTACCGCATTTGTTTTGATTTTTATTAGTAGCCACGGAATGATGAAAGCTTTTGATTACGCTACATCTTTATTTGGTCTTAATTGCCCATTCTAAAGCGAGTCGGTTCGTGAATTATTCAAATTCAGTACATGCGAGAGATTGTTCTTTTAGTATTCAAATGGCATGAGAAAACCGATGGATTAAATACACATATTTTCAAGGAAAGTGAAGTTATTATAAAAAAAAAGTAAATGCAAAAGTAACAATCTTGATTGTAAATTTGCCAGTCTTGTCAGACGACTTTTTCAAAATCATATTTAACTTAGAAGAAAATTATGATAAAAAATTTAACCACGGGTATTTTTCTAAATGCGTCAAAAACAAGCAAAATAAGCGCAGTTTTTAAAGCAGGTAGCAAAAAAGAAAATGATAATTACTGACCAATCTCAGTACTGAGAATTTTTTTCTAAAATCATGGAAAAACTCTTAAAAAGCGCGTATTACAATACATTAGTAACACAGTTGAAGTGGAAATATTCCAGTATGGTTTCCTCAAAAGTAGTAACATTGTGGTAGCATGTTTCAAAAGCATTACATGGCAAAAAGATAGCTGTTTTAGTGTTCATAGATCTGAGAAAGCCTTTTGATACAGTTGATTTTGGTATTTTATTAAATATGCTTAATTTACTTCAAAATTGTAAATAAATATTACAAATTAATGTAAATAAAACAAAATTTATGGTATTTAAGGAAAAAATGAAGCAAACACATGTGTAGATAAATATCAATACAATTAATTGCAAGTTAATAATGTTGAGATATTTAGATAGTTTTAGATTGGATACTAAAAGGGTACCTATGATAGATGCAATATTTAAATGTAGACTGTATAAAAAGATATAAAAACTTCGAACATTGTCTCGCTTTAGATACCTATTAACCATATGGGAAACTTGTAGCAAAACACATTTTCAAAGGGTGCAAATGTTACAAAGCAAAATACTAAAAATATTATAATTTTATCAAATCAGGTGAATAACTATGAGACGACAATTATAAACAATATTTATGAGATTAACATAAAAACCAATATAGGATTGCAAAATCCGGCATTGAGATTTTTTAATGATCCACCAAGGGGTATAAAGTCTGCAAATAAATTGAGTTTCGTTGTTAAAAAACTTAAAAACTACATTCTTACTATACAGATAGGTTAGTAGTCTAATTACCTAAAACACTTACTTAAGTTAGTTTTCACGAGGTCAGCACTGCTTAGAGATATTTGTTAAAACCCCATCAAGATTTGTTTAAAATGAAATAGATCTTACCGGAAAAGTAATATGCACACAAAAGCTTCACCACTATGAGGTATCACCAAAATGGGATACACCAGACCTTTCACCAGGCAGAAGTGGAAACTTCAAATACTGCAAATTTGTAAAAATTCTCTAGGACTTAATGGTTAAAGCAATTCTAAGCAATAATATTTGCGGTATTTCTAACATTCTAAAGATAAAAATCGACAAATATTTACATTGAAATTGTCCAAATTTATGAAATTGCTTGTGATGATAATAATATAATCATTGGATTAATGATGAAATTATTAAACAAAAATTATAAACTGATGGGAAATAGAATGTGCTACAGAATGTCGCCCTACAGGGTGAAATTTTTAAAAGTTTTCCAAAGTACATGTCCACCCTTATATACAATAGTATTTCGTCACATAGACCAATATCCAGGCAGCCAATTTACCAAAAGGTTTATACGTGCGGAGATTGTAGTGAAGTAACTTTAATATCTTACTTTTTACTATGATTTATAAACGCAATTACTGTTAACGGATGCGTTGATCTTGCAGGTAGTCGTGGCTTTACAAAGAGGCACACTGAGCGTGGCTGATTGTGACGGTCACTGGGTTTTGGAACTTTGAGGAGGCACTTAAAATGCCGAAAACGCATCGAAATTTCGCCGATAAATTATGGGTTCCGGAAGTAACGAACCCAAATGAAACATGAAGACAGAATATGTGGAATATAAACATTAGTGATACCTGTCACCGGTTCGAAACTTTTAAGAAATATAGTGACGGACAAATGAAACGAAAGAGACAAAATGTTAAAGCATATTACAAACGGAGGTAGGTATTAATTTTCATATTTATTATATCATTTCATCGCTAAAATTAAGTAGAAATACTCAGAGATTGTCGAACTTCCCTGGTCTTTATTTTTTGTTTACACACTCTTCCAAGCAAATCCACTGAAGTGTCTACTTCTATAAGCAAACTTAAAAACAAATAATTTTCTTCTAATTTCTACAGAAACAGAATCAGCTGACTTAACAAAGTAATCATTAACCACCTGAAAACCTTTCATTTTCTTTCTTTTGGGATTTCGATTTTGCAAGTTCGATTGAAAACCTGGGGCAATCGAATCCCGAATTACTAAGTAAATGTCATGTCGAGAGGTTTATGGAAGTCACAATCTATTAAGGATGGTCTAGTCTAGTTTATTATTATTTAATTATTATTAATTATGTCTAGATCATTGTGCGAAAAAAGTGGACTGGTATATTAAAAATTTCAAAAGTTATAAACGATTAAAGATGGTAAAAACTAGTGTTTAGTTATTTTGTTACAGTTCGTAATATAATGTTTTTTTGGGATTTTGAAAAAAGATCCTTAAAGAAGAGGAAATTTACTAAAAAAAAGTTCGGATTCCCGGAAACCATCATTAATAATTTTAATTTAACGTTGAAAATTGATCTCTGGACCCCATATTGAGGTCGCGCGCATGTTGTCGTAAGTTACAATATTTGTTTTTTATATATATAAAGTAGATTTTAAAATCTAAAAAAATTATGGTATAATTTAAACACCTCAAAAAACCGTCTCCCGTTGGAATTTTTCATTAAGGTAAATTTTCCAATAAACTAGAAGATTGTTAAGTAACAACTTTTCAGTTACTTCCTTTATCATTGCAAATTAAAAAAATATTTAAATAATTGCCATCAAATTTCTTGTATACTCATAAAATAAAATAGTGTGAAAAAAGTTGTTATAAACAAATTGTTAACTTTTATTTTTTTTTTTTTAAGTTTTAAAAATTACAAAATGACACAGAGGATGCATCAAAATAGCGAAAAAAAAAATTTTGATTTTTTATTATACTTAACTAATTATTTAAACAACAGCTGCATAAACAATTAAAAATTATTTTCAAGAAAAAAAAATTAAATCAGAAAGACAATTATTAAAAATATTGAAATAGTCCATTTGTTTATAAAAAATTCATAAACAAATGAATCTTTTTTTTTTTAGTTTATAAATGTCTTTTGCTAATATAAAAAGGTGAGTTATATGAAATAAAAAAATTACAGTATTAAGCTAAATTTTCTTTTTTTGTTAACTTAAAAAATAATTAAAAATAAGTATTAAATTTATTTAAACTTTTATCACACTATCTTATTAAAGTTTGTTCCTGTCTGCGCAATTTATCTATTTATTCTGTTATATTCTATACATAGTTGTGTAGGTGAATCTACATGAAAAAATTACGATAATTTGTTAAACAAACTGTTGTCCGAAAACTCTGTCCATGCAATAACAATTAAAAAAGTATCAAGATAAAATTCAAGGTAAAATGCTGAGGCAACTCTTGGTTTTTTTTGACCGACTATGCCATCGCATATCGTACCGACTATATTTGTTTGCGTGTTAGTGAAATTTTTTGTATCCATCCCTTTAGGCACGATGCAAAGGCAAACTGCACTTTCAACAGACTTATAGAAATTAAAATTAAAAACGCTTAATTTCTTTGACACCTCATATTTTTGGTGCCCCTTCCATTCATTTAGGGTTATTGGTATTGGTTAGTATTGCCAGTAATAATTGTCAGCATTTCCAAACAACAAATCCATAATTTTGGTTTCTTGAAACAGCAAGTCTGTAGGATAGGCAATTACAATTGCAAGAACTATTTTTAAGATTATATGCTTTATTTTTACCCACTTCACCCTACCTTGAATTGCATACAAAAAGTATAATTGCATTAGGGTGAGATAGTACAATTAAAGCTCATTTTTGTCTAAACATTAAGAAATGTAAGTATTCCTATAACAAGGACATTTAATGGATAACAGTCAAAATGAAACTAAAACAATAATAATATTAAGGAGTATAATCTGATTTGCTAAGCATTTTTCTGTCCTTCTTTATTAATCAATATTATTTTTTTCCTTTTTGCCTTCTTAACGGTGTATTAGGTGTATTAATTATTATTATCATCTTGTTTTATTTTTTTTTTCGTTTATTTTATCTAATTTAATGCATTAAATGTGCATTGCCCTTCGTTAAAGGAATACTTGTATAATATAATAAATAAACTGAATTGAATTTATGCAATATGTAATAATTTCCTATAATTATTCCATTTCCTTAGTTTAGTTAGTTAGTTTAATTTGGGACCTAGAATTACGTGTTACTTGTAGTTCAGAATTGGAAATATTTTAGAAAATCATTCCATGTCAAGCATTTGTTCTCATTACTTTGGTGTCCGCAATAATAATAGCGGAATTTTGCTTGATTGTATTCGATGGCATCTCGGCACTGTTCTAGATAAAATCGCGTTACTTGCAGGCAATGTTACATTAATTCTAATACGAGGGGCTTTTAAAAAATTGCCTACCGAGAGCAAGAATCTGTTATTTCACACACTTACGCGTTACTGTAAATTGTTTCGTACCGGGAATTGGCAATTATTTCGGTTTAGAAGGAGATGCAATAATGTCGTTAAATATTGAAGGTTAATAATGGCGGTCGTTATTTTGTAGACAACATTACGTCAGCTTCCATTTTTGAAATGGTAAAGCACCTTTGAAATGTAGAGAGAAGGCTTATGAAATAATATAATAAATTATCGGTACTTTTATATATGGAATTTCCTGAATACCTTCATTAACATTTCAATCATGCCCGTTACATGACGCAAATGTCAGCAAGGTCAAAAGGTATTTTTAGGAAATTTGGACTACATGTTTCACCAAAGCAATCTTTTAAATTGTTTTGGAATGTACGTGTAATTGCATTTTCAACAATACATACCTCCACATTTGCATTCAAAATGGAAAAATCCACAGAAGAATATCGAAAAAAAAAATACTTTTAACAAATAAATAAGAAGAATTACAACATTTTCAGGAAAAAACTTTTTTGGTAAATCATCCAAGAGAAAAGCTGAAAAAAGTTTTAAGACAACGACTGGTGAGTGAGGAGGGTATAACAGTCAAGTGAGCGCAAAGAGATAAATTATTATGTTCAAAAAAATTTACCCAATAAGGTACAGTGAAAAAATAATGCTTATCAATTTTTTGTCACATTTTTTTTCCTCTGTTGGTATAAGTATGGAGGATGCTATTGCTGGTGAGTTTTGGTTTTAGTCACCCTCAAAATATTTCAATTTTTCCCAGTTTAAAAAAAAAATAGGACTACGTTTTTTCTTATTATGCATTCCTTTTTGCAGTATATTTTCCGAACATTATTAGCATTAAACGATATATTATACCTCCAAGACTTTTTCGTCTTTGCTGGATTAAGAAATGTTGAATTCAAATATTTATAATTTATACAGTTTTTACCATTTTTTTTTAAATCAAATGTAGCACTACATCTTTTTTTATTTTCATTCATTTTAATATTCATTCCTTTCTGGGGTATATTTTGTGAATATTATTAGCATTCAACAAATTCTTTTGACTCTGTGTATTTTTTTTCATAGGCAATTTCTTGTTAAGAGATTTACAATTTATCAAATTTGAAAACACAATGCGTTTCGTTCATTTTTCAAATATGTGAGCGGCTAGTCTCCCTCTATAATTGCGTTTTTAAAATGTGTTTTATGTAAGCCTCTAAAGTATACAGACTTTCTTCTCTTCATTTAATTCCTTACACTAATTTGTATACAACTTTGACGTCATTTTCGTGAAAACAAAGATTATCTAGCCTAATAATTCGATTGGTGGATTGTCGGAACAGTTAAAAAAACTAATATGCATTTAACCGGTTCAAGCAATTTTTCTTATTTTAAAAAGACCTAATTTTCTATCTACCTACACCTCTTCAAATTTCAAAAAATAATATAGGCCTTCCAGTTTAAAAAAATTAAAGTTTGGTGAGTTTCTGAAATAAACGATTGTCTCTTTTCCGTATTCCATGCTACTTGGAGTTGTCCACCATTAATTACCACAGTAGTGATGAATTTGGTGTTGAGTTTACTGATCGTCTTTGCAGGAGCTATAAAGCAACAACGCTCTTTACACAACAGATTTTTTATATTCAGGAGTGGTAAGGAATTTGGTGTCGAAATTACTGATCATTTTTAACCAAAATGAAAGCATTTTCCCTTCTTTGCAGGAACTATAAAGCGACAACACCTTTTAGAAATTAGAAACTTCTTGCTCTCATGTTAATAATAGGGATTCTATTTCTTTCAGTGTGTAACTTCAAAACCGTTTCATCTTAGATCGATTTTTCTGTGTGCTCTCCAAGTATGAGAACCAATATTGTTTAAAACCTACTCGAAAGTAATAAAAAAAGGCCAGAAAAAGTTTTTACCATTAGGATATTCTAGCTTTTTTTTATTGAAAAAGGGTTGGTAATTTCCCACGTTCTAACTTCGTTTCAGGTGTCGCAAACCGAGGCTCCCGTCCAGATAGTTCCATAATAATGGAAACTCGAGATCCCCAGCCTCACAGGTTTCGATCTCCGAACGCCAACAGTTCTAGAATATCATCGCAACAATATCCACTGAATGTTTCCCAGCTTCACGCTTTAACGCCTAATAACTTAGACAACTCGAAACATTCGATCTACAGCAACGCAACCGTTCTCTCTCCAGGCAACAAAGTTCTCAACGGAGGCTTAAACATATCGAGAATCCGGAATCAAAGCACCGTGAATAAATTCATCGCCAAATCTAAACAAGTGGGCGTTAAAGAAATGTTAGTGAGTTTGGGACTGCTGTGTTTGGTTAGCTTGCTACTAGCTTTGTTATCGCTGATATTTTTGCTGAAAATTTCACCCGTAACGGCGAACGATATTAGAGAACTGCTGAGAGCCGAACAGCTAACAGTTATCACTGCCGAAGAATATGTCGTGGTTTATGAAGTGACATTGGCTTTGTGCGCTTTGACATTGTCTCTTAATTTGTGTTGTCTGTTGGTGTGCGCTATTCAGTTTCTGTTTGCAGTCAAATTGGTGAAAAGTCCCCACGGAGGCAGCGACAGGTATGTAATTTTTTTTGGTTCACGCTGGTATGGGAACTGAACTTTTATAGGAGGTGTCCCAATAATATATACATATATATATATATATATATATATATATATATATATATATATATATATATATATATATATATATATATATATATATATATATATATATATATACTTTATTGTATAATTAATTATATAATTTGAAAATATTGATGGTGCGCTACTGATTTCTCTTGAAATAAAAATTATTTTTACAATCTCCAATCATTTCTAAAGAAATTTAATTTCTTCATTTTTTTCAATGCGACGTACCGACTAACCTCTTCTCTGTATGGTCATAGCAGTATCGTTAATATGACAGCACGCACACACATTACTTTTTTTTTGGAATTCAGTGGCGTACCACTGACTGTATATGAACAAATAATATTTTGGTTAATTACCAAATCCTTTTTTTTGTGAAAAACACAATAACTGTCTAAATCAAAATATCTGGTTTTTAGTTACCGACTAGTGTCCTTCAAAAAAAAATTAGAAGATTGTTCTTCTCTTTATAAAATAAAAATTACATAACATCCTAATAACAAGATAAATAATAAACGATTCTTATATAAAAAAAACACACACACACTACCTACTATTAATATTTTTTTACAAAATTGTCTCTTAATAAATTAATTTATTGGACCAGAAATATAGTGCTTTTACAACCGACACCGTGATTAACTTGGCCTAATGTTTATTACTCCAAAAACCGCAATCCCTTATAGAACAGCCGTGCGCTTTTTAACCAAAAACAATCAACTAACCAATTTTAAACGCTGCAAAACCAAATTTTCTTAAATGAAATACCCTGTACATTAATGGATAACATGATGGCCGGTTAGTTATTCCATATTATATATAAAAAGTCAATGAAATCCTTTCTGGTTTGTATTGATTTTGAAAAAGTTTGACAGAATGATGTTAGTAAGACTTTAAAAATCAAGATTTAAATATAAAGTATGCAGGGCGTTTCAAACGCAGTACCATGATTTTAGGGACATTTTTTAAATATGTCTGTAGGTTTATATCATCAAACACACTCAAAGCAGCAATGAAAAAAAAAACGAACCTCAATGAATGAATACTTAGTTCGCATTAAATGTTTTCAAAAAAGGTTTTTTTTTATTATAGCTCAAAAATTATTTCCCCAATATTAGATTTTTGATAACAGAGTCAATTATAATAAATTAATTAACATGAATTACTTTAGACCGAGATAGATCGTGTTGTTTTAAATTTCTAGGGTGTTTGCTTTGAACAAGCAAGATCATCAATGTTGTTATAATGCCGAGAAAAATGTAAATGAACTTATTGTTGTTATTAAACTTATACCTTTAATTTTTAATGTTATTGAAACGTTAATTTATTTTTGAATTATCACGTGGACAGGTATAACAGATTTGAAATACCTTTTTTTTATTCTAGTTGTAATGATATGGGAGTTAATTCTCAAAATGTCAACAAAAAATATTACAAATGGCGTTGCCTACTTTTTATCAAACAATTTATTTATCTGTTAACCTTTTTTACTAAAATTATCCAAGATCAAACAATTATTTTTTAAAATATTTTCCGCAATTAAAATGGAACAAAATACAAATTCATAGATATTATATTAAAAAAAAGGGATTACAAAAGTATTTTAATATAACATATGCAAACTGTGTTTTTTTTATTTTAGAATTGTATAAGTCGTCTGTTGTAGTTTTTGGAAATGATATTTAGGTTATACAGATAAGAAAACAATTTTTAATAATATTAACTAATTTACTCCCATTTTAGGGTGGCGTAACAAATTTCAGTTACATAGGGCATCTTTATATTTTGTTTTTTTTTTGTAATATTTTTTTAAGCAATAAACCTATCATTATTATTATTACAAGCTTGTGCTCAAATGTGGATGAATTAAATGCCTCCGCTTTATTGAAAAATTTAGATTGTTCGTAAAAGATACTTTAAATTTTTCGCACTTTTATTATTTTTTTAATTAATCCATTAATTAATTCTAAATTAAAAATTGAAATAGTGTCAGTACAGAAAAAGTGTTCAGAAATAGATAAATCCAATCCAACTGTCCTACACGGAAATAATCGAACAAATTACCCAAACAAACATTCATTTGGAACTTTCTTAATTCCTTTGAAGAAAATTTGTTTCGATAGGCTAATTCTGGCTTGTATCAAATCGAATAATTATTTATTTAAATTTATTTAATTTATTAACCATTCCAGGACAATCCTAGGAATTTTTCTACCTACACTACACTACTACTACAACACTAACACTTAAAAAATGGTCACTCTCGCTACTGTCGTCACCTAGTTCAATGGTCAACTGCGCCACTAATCGTTTTCGATAAATATTTTCTAGTTTTATTACTCGTTTTTTACAGTTAGACCAGCTTTGCACTGATATTTTAGCTACGTCTTGCAGAATTAGGTTTGTGCTACTATCACTAAATTTTGGTGCAGTGTTATTTCTTCTTATATGCGCTTTCAACTCAGACCAATTTCTTCTTTATTTTTTCATTTCATTAACAATTGGCGAAAATCCATTTTCTTCAAAAAAGTACACAACGACTCTTTGGCACAACTAATTTTGAAGTCATAGGGTTAAAACACCTTTATTAGCGTCGTAGATTATTCGCCTAATTAGATCTGCATGTTTCTCGCGAAGTACCAACATCTTCTCTCACTTTCCTCTTGACTATCCCATTTGCAACTTTTTCTTATAGTTGACATAGGAACTTCGGTCATGTCACTTGTTTTTATTGCTGCTCACACTTCCCTTTCTGAATTTATTATAAAATTGTAAACATTCTAAACAATTTGTTCAGCATCCGAAGACAAATGGATCTGTTTTTTAGGTTCGACTGCCATCTTCACTTCGTCTTCAAATTCTGGGTCGTTTTCCACGTCTTTTTCTAGCAGGGAAACATCCGCTTCACGGTCTCCACATTTTAAAGTGTTAAAAAACAGGAACCTCCAAAAAATGGAACTTTTATTGATAGTAATAAAATAATTTCACGTTAATCTTACCTTATTAACTAAATGTTCTTTAGTTTCCTCATCCATTGTGTCTCCATATTTTTGTCTTAGTTTTTCAAACGAAGCAAACTCAGCGAGATTTCTATCCAAGAATTTAAACAAAGTTCGATGATGTTGTCGTCTTTCAGGAAACATATTCAAATATATTTCCGATGTCCTGACACAGTTCCTATTATTTTTATAATAAAGTTTGACCATAACCCATTTTTCTTCATGGGTAAAGTCCATTTTTAACGACACGGTAATGCACTAGATATTAAAATGTCATCGACAGATTTTAAAATTAATAACTTACTATGGTATAAAAGTTTTGGTACAATATTCTATAAAAAGGTAAGAATACGGGCTATTCAACACTGCAAAAATCCAATATCGCGACTATAAGAAAAAATAAACTTGATAATGGTTTGAGAAAAACTAAACGTAGTAAGGGATTTTTGACCTGGCCATAAGATGAAGCCTAAAAAGTTCCAATGAGAATGTATTTATAGATTTTTAAAATAAAGACAAAAAAACAGAAAAAAAAACGGAAATTTCAGATTTTACGCAATATTTCCGGAAGTACCAAAAATAACTTCAATTTCAAAACGGAAAATTATTGATGTCACCGATGCGCAACTTTGCCCCAATTTAAGTCGCCCTGTATAAGGCTATCTTAATTTTTCAATTTAAAATGATCCAAATATATTCGCTTATCTTGAACACCCTGTAATTCAGATTTCGTCATATACCTTAAACGTCATCTTAATTTTTTCACATGTGTGAAAACTAGTGTTTATTAGAAAAATTTAAATATTGGAAAAACTATTAGGTTTAGGTATGTATTAGGTATGTGTTCCATTTTAAAAAATGTATGTTTTATTCACCACGTTTTTTTGAGTCACCCTGTATATTTTGAGAAAATCCGAAAAAATACCCAATATAGGCATGTAATCAAACACCAATTTCTACGCCGTATTGCGGTTTACTAAGGCCTTGCAGCGACATTGAAAGGCTTCTTTCTTACTTTGTTTAGATCGTGTTAATCGTTCGAAAAGAGCTTCGATTCACAGCACCTACGTACAACTTTTGAGAGAAAGAAAGCAAACATAAGAGCCCGCTTTATTCGAACTGCGGAAAATAATTATTAGTAAGAACGAGGAGAAGCTGGAACCCTCATACGTTCTCTCAATATTTATTTTGACGCTTTTTTGGGCTTTTGTTTACTTTCGTGCGAGCTGTTTTAAATGTTCCCACGCCAACCCGGTTTCGTTTGTCGTCTACGGACGTGAAGAAATTATACGCAATATTAAATTATTTTGCTTCTATTTTGACATTTTAGTCCATATAAAAATTGCGTGTAAGCAGCTTCCTTTCGATGGCGTTTTAAGAGAACAATACATTGCTTTCGTATGCTTATTACCTCTTCAAGACTTGTTATTCGAGAAATTTTCTCATGGTACTTCGTGAATCGTTAATATCCTGTGCACCGCCAGAGGTGCGTCGACAAATTAGTTACTTTTTAAAAATAAATGCGATAATTTTACCAGCAATTAAATAAAGCATTGCGCGTTTTTTTTTCTTCAGTAAGCCTAACAAGCAGAAATGAAAAAAATGCTGCTCAGATCGTTTGATGAAATCCTATCTCCGAATCTCTAGAGAATATCAGAAAAACCTCAAAGACAAAAGTTGTTTGGATATTTAGGGTTGATTTCGTTGCAGTATGGCCAAAAAACTAACATTAACAATTTTAATGAATAATTCCACATTTTTTTCAAACGGAGCACTATAGAAACGGCACCTACTACTTACTATACTTCAAAAATTTTAAAATCATAAAAATGGTGCCTAACAAAACAGTATTTTCAACGAATAATTGAAAAATTTTGGAACCGTTGGCTACTTAATTAACAGAACCTTAAAAAAAATCGCATTTTC